TCTTCTCTAGATCTGTTTTCTCGTGCGCTTGGAGTGTGAAGTGTTCGTGGAGTGTTGTTTATTTTGCTGAAAGTCCTCTCTAAGCTATATTTTCGGGTGATTGTGGCGTGGAGCATTCGTGGTTGTCGTTTCTTGAAGTTTTTAGGGGAAATATTTCTCTTAGAGTGGTTTTCCTGGAATTATCTTTCAGTTTTATTTTAAATCTGCTGAAAAGAGGTAGTTGCTCCATCTGACTTCTACACAACTATACCAGTGCTCAACAAAAGAGGTGAAACTCATCAAAAATCTCCAATTGACCTTAAAATTGTGAAAGGAAGGTTGATCGAGGATACATTGAAAAAACTTCGAGCCGACATTGCACAGTTATCTGAAGAACGAAGAAAAGATATGTGTGATGAACCCTACGACTTGCAAAATATAAGATAAAAGGAACTTGAAACACAGGTAAAATAAACCCTATCTAATTTTTATATTAGGTAGGGGAACTTGTTGGCCTCATATAAAATATTTCGCAGACCAAACAGATGTCACAAATTCTTTAGTTTAGGTGATTGAGCATACTACAAATTATATGTTTATTCTTCGGGATAAATGTATCATTTGTGGTATCGTGCTTAGTCACCCAAACTATTCAAAATGTGAGACTCGTTCGGTCTCACCTATTTTTAAATCAAAATGTTTCTTTCAAAAATCATATTCATATTAAAACTATTTTCATATTTTTTTATATTTTTCAAAATCAAAATTAAAATGGCCGACAATGGGAGGCTTTGAATGGCGGTGGGGAAGAATCGAGTGGGCTGGCGACTGTTAGTGGGTGGCAGGAGAGAGCTGCGGTGGCCTGGGACAACAACAAACCGATGGAGGGTTCTGGACTGCAGCCGACGTCGGTGTCCAAGGGGACTGAACAATAGTGGGGATAGGCGTCGGTGGCTGGACAACTGCTTTGGCAGATGTCGGTGGCTTGACAGAAGCAGGGACAAGCCTCGAAGGTGATGTCGGCGATAGGGGCTGATCAAGGAGGGTCTTGGCGGCAGTAGGGAAGAAACCGGAGGCCTGAGTAGTGGCAAGAAGGAGGATGAAGACCTGGACAACAGCTGAGAAGATGGTTTGCGACTGCTGTAAGCTGGGGGGTGGGGGGGGGGGGGTGGATTCTGCGGAAGGATAAATGTCTCGTTGGGATCGAGCTACAGCCAGAGCACCACTCAGACTCTTGGAGTTGGTCACCACCTAGGGCGAGTTACAACCGAGAAATCTTCTAGTCGTCGGGTACAACCTCTAAAGGTGAAGCTCAAAGGTAGCACCCAGGAATCTGCGCTCAGTTAAAATTGAACCCGAAAGCACTGAACAACACATATATATATAATGAGAATTTGTAAATATAATAGGTAATGCTTAGGAAAAGAAAGAAATAGAAAAGATAAGCATAGAATAGGTAGGAAATAAAATCGGAAAAGTCATGGAAAAGGAAGGTAAGAGGGAGGAAATGAAAAAGAAAAGGGGAGAGGGGTTGGACCGCAAAACTATAGCAGCTACAATGCAGTGACTCGGGGGAAGCTCTTGCATCACCTTGTCCCCGTCATGACCCCAAAGCTTCTCTTATCTACCGACTTCAGCCCCAGTTTGTCCATCACCCGATTTTAAGATAAAATTGTGAGTAACCCCACTATCCATCAACACCACTATCGGCTATTCCCCGATCCGTCCCTTCACTTTCATGGTGTGATTTGAAGTAAATCTCACTACTAAATTGAGGGACACCTTCGCTACAACCAAGTGTAAATGCTCCACTCCTTCCACCGTTTCTTTCTCCCACTCCTCACTATCTGTTTCCTCCCCCTCACAAAATAAAGGAAATGGAGCGCGTGATCCTCGCACTGATGGCCTGGGCGTACTTCTCATCACATTATAAACATATTCCCTTTGCTTTCTTGTTCTGCACCTCTGGCTCTTTGAGCGTCTTGAAATTGACCCTTGGACAGATCCTCGTATTCCTCTGATGTGTTTCCTTTTTGAAATGATATCGTCCTCGGTGTCATGTTCGTCGAGTTACTCTTGTGGATTCCTCACATGTTGTCGCTTTTGTTGGTCTTTTTCATCTGGTTTTTGTCTTCTACCTTCTTGGCGAGCTCCATCATTTCCTTCAATTTCTGTGATCTCAATAGTTGGAGTGTTGCCCATATGTCGGGCTTTAGGCCCATTATGAAGTTCACCTCTAATCTTGCTTTCGAAATCCCCCTCAAGTATTTCGACAATAGCTCGAATCTCTCCCTATATTTCATGACAGTCTCCTCTTAAGCGAAGGTATAGAATTGCTCGTGCATGTCTCCTTTTTGCATGACTCAGAAAATATTCTAACAAGCAATCCTTAAATTCCTCCCATGAATGAATTGGGTATTTACCCTCCATCAACTAAAATCATGCTAAGGCTTTTCCCTCCAAACATAACTCTGATGTCATGAGCTTCTCCTTCCCATTGAGCCCATTCAATGCGAAGTATTGCTCCATCCGATACACCCACTCATGTGCCTCTCCCCCTCGGAGATTGACATCTTCAACTTTTTGACCCTAGCTTCACTACCCAACTTTTTCTCCCTCCAGTGTTTCTCTCCATGTATCTAGGGTCTTTCGATCATAGCCATACCCCTTTCCATATTCTTTTCTTCCTTATTCGTGCTCCTCCCAACTCTTTGCATAACCTCTCTTCCATGTTTTGGCCCAACCCATTCCATTAAAAATCCCTCACCCCCAATCGAAGCCTTAGGGGATTTCTTGATTGTGGATGCTTTCCCCATCATGCTATTCACATTCGATATTTTTCTCTTTTGATGTGGCCACGTATTCTATGGTCAACCCTTGGCTAGGGTTTGTAAATTGATCCGCTTGCGGTCTGGATTGCATCTTAATAAGCTTCTCTATCTACTTCTCCATGTTCTCGAATCAATTTTCAATGAAGGAAAATCTATCCTCTATCATAGATTTAAGTTGACGTAGCTCTGCTTCTAATCTCTCTTCAAAAGCATTAACTTGTTGTCATTTCTCCGCCAAACAATTTTCAATCACGAAGGATGAACTAATGTATGTTGAAATATCGTTGATGGCTTCCCAGATAGTCCGGATCAGGTCTGTACGAATTCTATTGCGTTTATACCATGTGGAAACCTGTGTGTTGTGATCCTGTCGTACATTGTGATCCCTCTTTCTAGCTAGCGATTGTATCACGGGGAGCGGTCGCAAAGGAGTGCCATGCGTGACCTGTGCGCCGCGATCCTCCCCATCTAGCTCGAATCACAAAGGGTAGTTGCGAACAAGACACTTGTAAGCTGAGATCCCTTTGTTGACGCAACAACGAAGGTTCCCGATCGAAGAAGGTTGTACGCGATTTTGTGGTGGCTTCCCCAACCAGCGAATCATGATTGTTTCGCGTGATTTCTTCATGAATCCGGTGCGACCTAGAGGCCGTGACCCCTTCTTTATTTCCTATCTTGATCCTTCCCAAGTCGAACACTTTGACACCACCGAGTTGCGATCCGAGAGAATTTCTCACAGAAATTAGGGTAAGCAAATATCTTATTGCAAGAAAATCAAACAACACAACATAAATACATATGATAAACACCTACAATTTGAGAGTTAGGTGATGTCTCCAAAATCCTACAATTTGAAAATTAAGAAATCTCTTCCAAACCCTAACCCTAAGACTCAAGACAATAACCTTCTGCAACTAAACATTTTAGACCTATTTATACCAAACAATAATAAATAACAAAGGATTAAACTGCCCTTAGGCGCACAAAGAACTAAATTGCCATTAGCTACCGTCGTAACAATTTCCCAGCTACTTTGTAACTAAATGTTCATGTTTCTTTAGGTGATCTAATTCATTTTTTTTTGTGAAGCAAAGTTGTCTTTAGAATATGCATCTTTGCTACTTAAAGAAGTATTTAGTCCTTCGAAGTTCTTTAATCTCAACTCTTTGGCTGGGATTTTCTGTGGGATTCTTTTTTTAGTCAGATTCTCTCTTTTTACAACAATATGATTTACTATACCAATAAAATTGTGACTTCTCTTTTTGTTGAATATTTTATGTATTTTTTCTTACTATCCTTAATAAATAATAAATAAATAAAACAAAACCAAACATAGCCAATCATGCTCTTAGTTGTAATTGTTCTATGCTCTTCATCAAAAAGCTACTTGAAAAAAGTCCATTTACACCTATACGCTTTGTGTATTTTTGAGATAATATATCTTTGCGTTGAAGATGGGCCCGCCTTCTTAAAATTTCAAGAACTCAATTTTCTGTATAATTGTATAAACTACATGTAATTGCTGTAAATTTGTTTGAGTAGGTTAACGAGCTTGATATGTTTTTTTTTGTGTTCTTCTAATGAAAAAAAAAAAAAAACAAAAAAACAGGTTGTTTGAGATGCGTAGATGTTAAAATAGGATGGTTAAGACTGACAGATAAGAGTCAATGTGAAATAACTACAAGGAATAAAGAGTTGATAATCATCATTAGTTATAAAATAATGTCCCACAAGATAGTGTTTAACACATCATATTATAGCAACAAAAAAAAAAAGGATGGGTAAGATCGTGTTTGTTGGATGCTGTATGACTCTGACCTGTTTATTGGCAGTTTAGAACTTTTTTATTTTGTTTCACTAGCTTATCTTTTGAAGTTGGGCTTAAGTTTATGTCTGACTCCTAATCTAGCAATAGATATTGCAACCTGCATGTTTTGCTACCTGACTTCTGCATTAGAGGGACTCAGCCAAGGCTGTCAAATGATCTTGGTCAGCTTAGATGCTAGGAAATCGTGGATGTTGGAATTACAAATATGGATCAAGTTTAGACTACAGTAACTGCAATGCTCTGTATTGATTTAGCTCAAGGAGTTACTGACCTTAAACAAATGTTCATTTTATTTCATTTCGTTCATGACCTCATTCTGATGTTTTTTTTCTTACGCTTTTTTCTATTTTCTTGCGAGCTAGCCCTCGAGAAATTGTTAGAGAAAGTTGCTGGATATTATGCCACTGGTGATGAAGCCCAACTGGTATGTCTGCAAAATGCATGGAAAACTGCAGGAAGAGCCAGCGGCTAGGGTTAGATCCTTGGCTTTGATACCATGTGAGAATTGAGAATAGAGCATGATAATTTTATCGATAGAAGGAGGGGTATTTAAAGCCAATTACAGTAGACATAACAAAGGAAATAAATAAAATAGAATAAAATAAATAGGAAATATGTAATGAGGGAATAAAAACTAATAATTGCTAGGAATTGCTCTATAAATAAATAAACATATATATATATATATATATTCAAAAAAGAATGACCGGAAGCTATTATAGGAGCCCCGACCACCCCTCACGCGGCTAATAATTTGAGTATCACACTCTATACTCAGGGTGATTCGAACCCCAGACCAAGGGGGACTTACAATTGACAAGCAGATGTCCCGACCAACTGAAGCATACACACACACACGCACACACACACACGCATACATAAATGTTTAATGTTTAACATTTCAAGAGCTGTAGGATAAATTTATCAAATTGGGTGATCAGAATTTCATAATGTTTAGCTTTGATTTTATGTGAAAGTGATTATGAGTTTGAAGTGTGGAAACATTCAGATGTTTTAGAATTTAGTATATATGGGTAATTAATGATAGTTAGTATGTAATGAATGATTTTAGTTGATAAAATGCACAATATTACCAAACATTTAAGGAAGTTTCTATCTGATAGCAAATGATTCTTATTTCTTTTGCATGTTTGATGATAAGTAGAAGTACTTAAATAACAAGATCACAATCAATGATGCGATGCTAGTTGCAAAAAGCAAAGTTGAAAGAAAATTAGTCGTCCTTCTTTGAATTTAAATATCATGTATGAAGTAACATGTGTTTTATGGCTGCTTGCTCTGTTCCACAATAGTTATTATGTATTTTGGAGTGAAAGTATCACATTTTTTCTGTAATACTTATTTTTTGACAAAATACACCCTAAATAAATTATATCAAAGTTTCAGTTTTTTAAACAATAACACAGCAACAACAATAACAACAAGCCTTTACACCACTAAGTGCGGTCTGCTACATGAATCCTTTTTCTCCATTGTGTCCGATTGAGTGTTGTTGAAATTCAGAATAATACGAAATATTTTTATTGATATGAAAAGGAGATATATATAACCCTTACATGAATTCTAGCATAGGAAAGACAATAAAAAAAATAACAAGATAGGAAAGATATAACTCCTAATATCTCCAATTAATCGATTCATATTAATTGTTTTGGAGATAAATGAAACAACGTAAAAATAAGAAAGCCTAGAATAGGAAAGGAAATAAATCCAATATAAGTAAATAATTTATTCCTTATAACTTCTCATAGGAATAAATTATTTCATAATATAATTTTCAACACTCCTCTTTAAGTTGAAAAATGACTGAAAATCATGTTCAACTTGGATCAGAAAACATCAAACAATGGGTGAGGAGGATCCTATGAGGCAGAACTTAAAGTTTTCATCCCGTACTGTGGTTGTTTTTTACTGCAGTTCCTGTAGTGTCTGTAGATAAGTGGAAGACTAATCCAGGTAATGTTACAAGATAGTTTGCAGGGAATTAGACAACGACAGTTCCTGCAGTGTTTGTAGGTAGAAAAATTCATACAGGTAATGTTGCAAGAGAGTTTACAGGGAAGTAGACAATTGTGGTTGTCTTTGACTACAGTTCCTGCAATGTCTGTAGGCAGCAGAATGTTTCTCCAGATAATGCTACATGAGAGTTTGCAGGGAAGTAGACAACTTGTAGGAAAAAAAAGTGCAGGATAAAGCCTGCAGAAAAAAAATAGATAAAGCTCCAGGAGATGGTCTACTGCAAGAGAAGTGTCTGCAACGAGGAGGGCCTGTTATAGGATATTGTCCTTTGCATGGCAGATTGTTGACAGATAAGATTTTTGGTGGTAGAGAAAAAAGGTTTGCAACCTGTGGGGAGAGAACCAGCTGCCGCTGCTATTGCTGGACCGGTTGAGTTCCGGCAGAGAAGAAGCTTGCAGGGAGAGTTTTGGTGGCAAAGAAAATAGAGAAGGGCCTGCATGGAGATTTCTAGCTACAGGGAGGAAACCGACGGAGAAGGGCATGTAGGTCGGCTGCTAGGATTTCATTCAATAATACATCCAGTCTCGCCTTTGTAATAGCCTTTTTCAAGTCATTTTTCGAGCAAACAGACAATGAACTCCTCTGTAATAAGCTTACATTGATTTCCACAATCCACGCACGTGAAGTGAAGAAAGTTGCCATGGAGACGGATGCGGGCGCAACTTCTTGCAGGAAGCAATAACTGTTGAAAACTGCAAGGGAAAAAGTAGCAAAAATAGCCTCTCCACTCTGTCCACTTTTGCTACGAAGACATATATAGGAAAATAACCTCTTCTTTTCAGTTGGGAGTGCCACTGGAGAGAGAGTCCCGCTCTTTGAACATCAGTGGTGGCTCTCCGTTTGGGATTTCCATAAGAGAGAGAAAGAGCATATCACACCCAGAAAATTCTGCTGACATAGAAAGTTGTAGGAGAAAGGGCTGTTGGAAACGCAACTCCCCCTGACGCCTGCACAGAGATGGGAATAATACTGCAGAAGATAGGGCTGACGATGGATCAGACTGCAGGAACCAATTCTGAATTTTTGTGGAAGTACAACAGGAAACAGCAAAAAGCAGTGCTGGATTTTAGGGAAAAAGCTGCGTTGTTTCCTTTGGCTGGGAAGAACAACAAAAAAAAACTGCTTTGTTTTCCTACGGTAAAGTCTTGTGGCTGGGAGAGATAGCAGAGAGGCTATCGACACACAACTCATAAGAGAAGGGTCGTCAGTGAGGGGAGAGTCAGCCGACAGAGGTTCGAAAAAAATCTTGCTGAGAGAGGCTGCTGGTGAGAGAGTGGTAGTAATCCACAGTTGGTTGCCCATCCGATATGCCCTCGACGAGGATCTCAATGGCGATGTCACTCTAGATGCACTTCAGTCTCGTAACAAGAAGGTCTGAGATTAGAATCCAAGGATCGACTCTTCAACGAAGGGAGGTTCGGCGACTAGAATTACCTGTCTGAAGGTTCAATAGCAATAACCTTTAGAAAATTGATAGGGATGAGGGGAACCGAGACAGATATGCAATGGTTCTTTATGGGAAAAAAATTGTCGAGCAGCCAACAACATAAAATTCTCCATGGAACAGATCTCTACGGGAGGAAAAGCAGCATGAAGAAAAACAGCTAGGAAATTGTCGCTTTCTTTTTGGAGGCCAACAGAGTCGAAGCTCTCGGCTTTAGAGGGGCCAACCGACAGGCCAAGTCTGGAGGGAGAGAAGAAGCAAAAGTTAATGTTTCAAATACTAAGTTGAATTCCCTTCCTTCCTGCACAGAGGATGGCAGGAAGGGAGTCCGACGGTTCTGAAAGGAGGACGGGTGGCTAGGGTACGAAATTAAGCTCTGATAACATGTTGAAATTCATAATAATGAAAAATATTTTTATTGATATGAAAAAGATATATAAATAATCCTTACCTGAATCCTAGAATACGAAAGACAATAAAAAAAATAACAGAAAAGGAAAGATAGAACTCATGATATCTAAAATTAATCAATTCATATTAATTTTTTTGGAGATAAATGAAATAACATAGAAATAAGAAAGTCTAAAATAGGGAAAAAAATAATTTATTCCTCATAACTTCTCATAGGAATAAATTATTTCCTAATATAACTTTTAACAAGTGTCATATTTTCATTTAATTCTAAATTTTCATACAACATGCCCTAGTCTTTTTGGGTCTATCTCAACCTTTCTTAACAAAAGTCCAATCTAAAACATCTACTCGACTAACTGGATCGTCAGATGGTCGACGTTTAATATGACCAAACCATCTTAGGCTTTCAAATCTTGTCTGCCATTAGACACCAAGGTTTTCATTGATTATTCATTTTGTATTTTGCTCTAAGTGTAAAGCCAATCATCCACCTAAGCATTCACATCTTAGGAACACTTAACACAGATTTATGTTTCTCTTTTATAGGCCAACATTCTGCCCTATAAAGCATTGCAGGTCTCACCACCATCTTATAAAAGTTTTCTTTAAGTATATGCGGTATATTTCTATCCCACAATAGGCCCAATGCATTCCTCTACTTCAACCATCCAACTGAATTCTACTAATAGCATCCCCATCTATATCAATATCACTGTAAAATAAATTTCAGTTTTTTCAAAATCATTAAAAATCATTCCATTTGCTTTTGGCACTTCGAAACGATCATTGATGAATTAATTCTAAAAAATGTGAAGTTATGAAATTAGTTCTAGCTTAAATAAAATTTTCCTAGGGTTTTATTTAATAATGTTGTTGATGCACTGTAGATATTAGTAGATCTTCATGTTTTCCACTTTACATTGCTTGCATTGGCTTATGACCGAACAACTAAGAATATATGCTTAATTATATTAATAAGTTTATATATTATTATTTAGCCTAAGTCATTCCTCACTTCCCCATGTCGTAAGCTTCAAGACAGTCGAAAACTGAAACAAAGAGCAGGTCATGAGGAATAGAGAAAAGAAGAAAAGGATGAATATAAAAATGACGAAGAAATAGGTGGAGAAAAAGGAGAAGAGAGGAAAAGAGAAGGAGAAGAGGAGAGGAAGAAAGTGATACCAGAGTCAACCCAAACAACAACAAAATAATAATATTATTGTTGAAATTTAGTAGGGAATTATAATTAATCATCTGGAATAGGAAATAACAACACGAACACAAAGCATATGACACTGGGGTTGTCATGGCTACTATTTGAAATTGGTGTTGGCAGTAGGATGGTGGCAATTTTGTTGTTTATGGAGGGGTCGATGGCTTGAGGCTAGGGGCAGCAGGATGACAACAAACTGGGAGAAGTAAGGGGGAGGTGGAGGCTGCGGTTGGTAGTGCAGGAAATGAACTAGTTGGTTACAGAGGGGGTTGGTGGTGCGGGATTGAAGGTGGAATAGGGAGACTTGTTGCGG